AATAGCGCGCTTTTGACACGGGCGGGGGGGGCTTCCCCGTGAAAACACCCTTTACGTTTACGAGTGTGGTAAAAAAGGCTCGGTGTTTCCATTTGAATTTTGGTATGCTAAAAACGGCTTTAACAAGTCCAAGGTGTTCACAATTTTTGTTAGAGATGAATAAAAAGTTGTAGTGGTTGTCTTTTGAAAATTGCTAATTTTACGGCCATGTTTGTACGGTTGCTTTGAACAAATAGGATTGATGATCCCTCTTGAAACTGTGTGTGCTGATTCCCTAAAATGTCAGTTACTTCTATTTCTTTACCGTATATATAGAATTGACGTTACCTGCACCTGATGATGTTATTTCTCATTCCACAGTAACCAGCGTCACCGGATGTGGAGGGAACCTGACGGCTCCTTCTGGAGGCCCTGTGACGTCACCCAACTATCCAGGTAACTATGGCGACAATGAGAACTGTGAGTGGTCGATCACTGTACCAGAGGGAAGCATCATTCGCCTCACGTTTGACAGCTTCGACACTGAGGGCGGTTATGACTTTTTGACCATCTACGATGGAGCCAGTGATAATGCTGCAGAGATGGAAAGGTAATCATAATATATATATGATTTGTTTGTTTCAGACACTCACTGGTCCTTACTTAGACAGTAGAGGAACAAAACCTAAATACATACACAGCACACACATGAAAATCAAATTCTATATAAAAGACGTTTCCGGAGGTTTGTAAAGTATCAGTTGCGATAGAAGGAAACCGACTAAGTACAGACTGAACTATTTCAGACCAGTACAGACTATAGTTAGAATTAACGTATAAACTTAATTGCTCGAAAGTTGTACAGTGTACAATATTGTCAAAAAGTACATTCTAAGAACTACTACAGAAAAATATGAACGTAAACGGCGTATGACATGATGTACGTTACGCGTTTTTGATTGTTACAGAACTTTCTCTCTTTTGTAAGGCACTACATATATATTGGTCTAGGTACGAAGATATGGGGTCGGAGGTATGACTTCAGTACATTGAAAAATTCCGTGTTTGTCTTTGGGAAAGGTTCACTAGCTTTACATGTGATCATATGGATTAAATATGATTATCTGTAGTATAGGCAGGACAAGTCATTAGAAGATAATACTCATCTTCAACACATTCTTGACACGAGGGAAATTATCTCTTGTAACTGGTATCATCATCATTATAGCGACCTTTTTTATTGTGACCTTTGTGAACTGATTTTTAGCTTTGTAACTTAAAAGCGTTACGCCATCTGACACCACAGGTATCAGTCAGGTTAAAAACAAACATCTTCATGGCACTACAAGTTTTAGGCAGATAAAACGACCCATGATAAGGATTTAAGTTATACATTCTGTGTTTCAGGATTCAAAACTACACGAGGTAAAAATGGTGACCAATCAACATGGGGTATTCAAGCTACTATAAACGTTTGAATTTGTTCTGCATAACAAAAAAAAACAGCCCCAAAAGCTCGGAATATTAGAGTCAATTCCGCGTCACCGAGTGGGTTGTTATTGTCATTATTTAGAAATGTTTTGAATTCTTTGTAATTGTTTGTCTAAGAAATTTCATTATTTGGAAATATTTTTAACATCTTGTCAATATTCTAAATAATTCCCTGGTTTTCTAAAACGTTTGAAATATTCCTGATGTGGAATATGACATTTCCAATAGTTTCTAAATATTTCTAACAGCACTCTACCATTTTTTACCATTATTTCGAATTATTTCTAACATTTTGTAAATAGGTCAGTGGGATGGGAAGGAAGTAATTCACACATCCCTGTGAAGTACAGGGCAGACTGCCTGGGTGTCAGGCATTGATGCCTTACAACAAAGAGCCATCAGTGTCCAACAGTGAAATCTAAAAATATACAGAAGAATACAGAAGAGTAGGATTAGCACCTACTTTTATGGGGGCAATTACCCACATCTACCATTTTTCATTTGTTTGAAATAGTTCTAAATATTTCGAATAGTGAAAGAAACAAATGGGTAGTTCAAATTTATTCTAAATAAAGAGATCTTTGTACAGTCACTTTCAAAATGTTTCAGAAATATATAAATGAATTCAAATATATTCAAATTTGCATTTTCAAATTTTTGAAAAATTTAGAACTTTTGTTACTAGGGTATTCTTTTCTTCTAAATAATTCAAACGTATTAGAAACATGGAGAAAAAACCCACTCGGTGACGCGGAATCGACTCTACAGTAGTTTGTGCGTCAAATATTAATTTTCCTTATTATTATTACATAACTTCTAGGTTAACCGGTGACCAACCACACATTAGCCCCATCATCAGCACATCCAACACGCTGTTCCTGAGGTTTACATCTGATGGGAGTGTCAGCCGTCAGGGGTTCCAGTTCAACTACATAAGTAAGATCTTTGGATACACTTTAACAAGGTCAATGATATCATTTAGTATGCTGGTTAATATGAACTGTGTTTGTGGCAGTTTTCTTTCATTTTCGGTAAATGATTAGTTTCTGGGATCCAGAAGATGCGAAAAATTGCAAATTATGTAAATGACGCTAATTGGCATGATTAGTACTATAGGACTTTTATAGATTCTAATCTATGTAATGTATGGGAAGTGGAACAATAATAGATAGAAATAATGCAAATATACACATCATTATATGATAAATGGCAAAGAAAGAAAATCCACACCGTTACATTGTTTTGTTCCAGGCAGGACTGCAGGTCAATGCTGGGATCCCGGTGTGCCGACCAATGGGAACAGGGATAACAACAGTAACTTTACATCAGGACAGACAGTCAGGTACACCTGTATGGACGGGTATCAGCTGAGGGGGNTGCATCGCCAACTTCAGTCTACTCTTTACTTGACGTGTATTCTTTACTTGAAGTGAACGGTAGCAGGCAGTGCAGCGCTTATATATGTACCTGCTCAAAAACACGAGAGGAACCCGTCGGGATCCCGCCAGGAACCCGCCAGGGACCTGACAGCTGCCCGGCCGAACTGTAAGAGCCGGTCGGCACCCTACCACACGCCGCACGGGTCAAGACGGGCGACTGACCGGGCACCGGACGGGTCCCTGACAGAAACCGGCCGCAAAAGTTTATGAATATTAATGAGAGCCGCCGGCCGGAGCACAAGCAGGCCCCGACAGGGAGCCGTAAAGGAACATTTAATTGTGACCCTGACAGTACGGCGCACGCTCGGCGTCATGACGCCGGCCGGCGTCTACGCCGAGGACATGCCGAACGGGCGCCGTTTCAAATGTGACCTAAGCATTACCGCAACTGTTGCTTGATTTTGCCCTGTTCCAGGCGCGCTTAATTAGGTACAGGCACGGTAAGACGGTGGGGCTGTGTTTGTTACTAGACACGACCATGATAGTCCGATCTTTATGTGAATGCAATGATTGTGTTTGTGTAATTAAAATGAACTTCGAACTTGAAGCACAGTATCTTTACACGCCCCGGGAGCAGTAATGGATTTAGCTCTTTTTATGTTTTATGCATGCTTGTGACGCGCCCTCGTTGTATTAACCGTTGCCTAATTATAATGTCTGCACAGTAGGTCTGGCGTTGACGCTTGGGATTTTGTTGAAATATATAAAACTTCACGGAGGATCGCCACAGCGCGCGCCTTCTTGAATTGTTGGAACATGAAGCGTTAGGCAACAGCAAGTAAATTCTATGGATGAGGTTTTCATGATATTTAGGTTTTCTTGTGGCGCCGAATGGTAGCCGTACAGGCCCTTGCGACGGTTCCTCAAAAACTGGATAGCAAATATGTATACGTATACCATATGTATTATTTGATTGTGATGTTTTCCAGTCGAAGGGCCAATGCTCTAGAACACGCTAATTTTGTAATAGCGCGCTTTCGACGCGGGCGGGGGGGGGCTTCCCCGTGAAAACACCCTTTACGTTTACGAGTGTGGTAAAAAAAGGCTCGGTGTTTCCATTTGAATTTTGGTATGCTAAAAACGGCTTTAACAAGTCCAAGGTGTTCACAATTTTTGTTAGAGATGAATAAAAAGTTGTAGTGGTTGTCTTTTGAAAATTGCTAATTTTACGGCCATGTTTGTACGGTTGCTTTGAACAAATAGGATTGATGATCCCTCTTGAAACTGTGTGTGCTGATTCCCTAAAATGTCAGTTACTTCTATTTCTTTACCGTATATATAGAATTGACGTTACCTGCACCTGATGATGTTATTTCTCATTCCACAGTAACCAGCGTCACCGGATGTGGAGGGAACCTGACGGCTCCTTCTGGAGGCCCTGTGACGTCACCCAACTATCCAGGTAACTATGGCGACAATGAGAACTGTGAGTGGTCGATCACTGTACCAGAGGGAAGCATCATTCGCCTCACGTTTGACAGCTTCGACACTGAGGGCGGTTATGACTTTTTGACCATCTACGATGGAGCCAGTGATAATGCTGCAGAGATGGAAAGGTAATCATAATATATATATGATTTGTTTGTTTCAGACACTCACTGGTCCTTACTTAGACAGTAGAGGAACAAAACCTAAATACATACACAGCACACACATGAAAATCAAATTCTATATAAAAGACGTTTCCGAAGGTTTGTAAAGTATCAGTTGCGATAGAAGGAAACCGACTAAGTACAGACTGAACTATTTCAGACCAGTACAGACTATTGTTAGAATTAACGTATAAACTTAATTGCTCGAAAGTTGTACAGTGTACAATGTTGTCAAAAAGTACATTCTAAGAACTACTACAGAAAAATATGAACGTAAACGGCGTATGACATGATGTACGTTACGCGTTTTTGATTGTTACAGAACTTTCTCTCTTTTGTAAGGCACTACATATATATTGGTCTAGGTACGAAGATATGGGGTCGGAGGTATGACTTCAGTACATTGAAAAATTCCGTGTTTGTCTTTGGGAAAGGTTCACTAGCTTTACATGTGATCATATGGATTAAATATGATTATCTGTAGTATAGGCAGGACAAGTCATTAGAAGATAATACTCATCTTCAACACATTCTTGACACGAGGGAAAT